AACTACCACCTTTCTCTTTTGCTGATAGCTAATTTCTTTCAAAAAGCTTTATGTTTAAACCATGGACTTCAATAAGATAAGATAGATATGCTCAAAGGCAAACTTTTAAAAGGTGCCAGAAATATATTTTGAATATTATCTATACTAATATTATAAAGAAGAAAGATTTGATTGCTTATTTGTTTATTTTAATTAAAAAGGATTCTTTCAGTGTTGGGAAGATACACTGTACCCGTTTAACATAATAATGATAGGTATCCTTACTAAAATGGCTTGTTAGTTAGTTAGTAAGCGATTAGCTTTATTTGCAAGGTGTTGTTAGAACATTCCAATAACCGTGAAGCCATTCATTTCCACAGCTGTCGGATTCTGAGTGTATCGTAGTCTGCTGAACATTTATTTGCAGTTGCTTCTTCACTAGTCCAAGTACTCGATTCTTTTCGCACATTTTTTATGCTTCAGCTTTCTTTGCACCGAAATAGTTTGGAATGGTTATAGATCTGATGTATATGACGTGATTTTTCCCATCAAGCCCAATTAGGGATAAACATATTTATCATATTTTTGTTTTTAACATTGAGGTGGCCTATGGTCCCGAGCTAAGTGGTACTCTTTTACATATCTAAGGAAAATGTATTGACTTGACTTGTCTTTTGTGACATATTACAGCTAGACCTTTAACTCCAAAGATGTCAAAAATTGAATAATTATAATAAATACTAGAAGGGGACAGCAGAAGATACTTACTGCATTAGCTTCAAATAATATCTAGTAGTGCAACTGTGATTGTTCACAGTGCTACAAGTATTGGGGTACCATATGTTTAGTCAGTTTGAAAAACATTGCCATACCTTTATTTAAAATCAACAAAGAAATTTAAATAATGTGTTGTGAGATAGAAAGAGCTTTTATGATTTTAACATTTATTAAATGTCCTGAACTCGCATTGAAGATGAGAGTCAATCAACTTTTTCAATGAGATTGATGGTTCAGCATTTAATAAAAAGCAAGTATATTTCTTACTCCCTAAATTTTTTAGCTAGTATAATTTGAGAGTGGATTAAAAGTGTAGTTAGGAACAGCTATGCAAAAAGCTGTTATTTTGGTATTGGTGTTACTTTTACCAATATTCGATTTTCAGAAGATAACCTGCTAAACAAAACTCATCGCTTCCAAAAAAAAAACAAAACAATGTTGTTATGCTAAAATAACTGTTATGTTATTCATGTCCCTAAAAGTTTGTATGCATATTAAAATTATCTACTAATTCTTATATTTATTAATCCATGTAAATCATCTTATTGGCAGCCTAGTTGGCTGACTAGCTCTTTTCCGTTAAAAGACAATATCTGCAATATAATATTATGCTTTCTAAAACTTATCAATCAATAATGTAAAAAGAATTATAAAAACATTTTAATGGGAATTGAAAATAAGAATTAAAGACAATTTAAATAATGAGTTACCTTACCGCAAAAGCGTTGCATACTTTGAAGCGCACTTCCGGTTCAGTGCTGCTCAATTGCATGTGCATGGTTTGACACCCCTTGCCACTTGATAACGTGCCCTAATTGTTTGCAATTATCAGTGCCCACGTCAAAGCTTGGGGAAATCGTATATAGTAGTATTATGGGAGGGGGGGAGTACAAGTAGAAATGGGGGAAAAAATGAAAGTCAGTTTGCCTCGTTTTTGATTAACATTTTTCCATTTTATTTGATTATTTCTCTCGTTCTACGCTGCTGCACTCACATCCAGCGCCATCAATGCATATATTAACGTGTTTGCAGGCGCACAAGCACATACACACACGCAAACACAAATGTATGTATGTGTGTGTGTGTGTGTGTGGATGTGCGATTGCCTCTCCCGCTTTTGTGTCGCGTCTATTGCACTCGAGCAGGGCCTCTGACAAGCGGTTTGGTTGGCTGATTGGATAGGCTGTGTTGATAGGCGCTTAACATAATTATGCAATTTTTACTGTAGTTTTTGTTCTTGTTCTTGTTCTTGATGTTGTTGTTGTTCTTTCTTTACTATGATTGAATGCGTGCGTTTTTTCTCTGCTTTTTGCTGCCTTACTCTGCTTTCTTTGTGGCCACAAATGCAATTAGTTGAAATTGTGGATGTGTGTTTGTGAGTTTGATTGGCTCATGTCTAACAAATATTTGCTCTATGCAGCTTGTGTTTTGTTATTTTTTTTAATATTTATTTATATTCTTTTACACACACATATATGTATGGATATATGTATAAGTGTGTGAGTGTGTTTGTTTGTCTGTTTGTTTTTTTTTGTGCCTACGTCTGCTGTGAATTCATGTGAGAATGTTTCGTTTGCTTTTCACATCGTTAATATATGTTTATAGGTTTGTTTGTTTTGCTTTGCCATTTTAAATTTTATATGTATATATATAGTGGTTTTACATATATATATTATATATATTTGTTTTATATGTACATACACAACATTTAATCATTTATTTATATGGAATTAGCTTACATTGTAACTATGTTTACATAATTAAATATAATTATGCTAAGTATATATCATTTTTACCATCGACATTTTTCCTTTTTCAACGTACACATGTTCAGCTACACATTATTTTTTTTGGTTTACTTGCCTTCATACATATATATAAAGATATTCTTTTTAGTACATATATATATATATATATATATATATATATATATATATATATATATATATATATAGAGTTTTGCCTTTAGTTGCACACATTTGTTGTCTGCCCAAATAACATTTAGTATATATGAATGTATGTATATATATATTTGTATATAGTTATGCATAAAACGTTGCACCTTTTGCTCTAAACTCATTTTTGACTTTCGGGTTGCCAAGAACTCTTTTCTATCATTTTAAATCAGTTGCCATAACATCGCATTCCTTTTAAAATCACAACTTATAGAAGTTACACAATTCTAATTTTGTTTTAAATATATATTTTTTTTTTTGTTGCACATGCAATTAAGAGTGCCTTAAGTTTAGTTTGTTTTTGTTTGTTGTTTATAATTCTCTCGTGTGTTTGTAAAAAATAGTTTACAGTATTTTCACTTTCAAATGTTTAGGTGTCTTGTGTTCTTCCTTCTCATCTTTGTAAATACAATATGTAATTGTTTAGCATATAGTATTAGTTCTAGTTACTTAGCATGAACATTGACTAAGCTTTTTAATTTGCTTTTGCTACACGTACCAGGCATCGAAGTGGGCTCTGTACACGCTGCCTATTGACTTCGATTTATGACATCTGCCTTTCCACTAAATATTTCACTAGATTTTCTTTTTGCACATGTACAAATTTATTTTAAAATGTATTTCTGTTTTTTAATCATACTACATATATATGTATGTATTTAGATATATGTTTACACTTACACATATGTACTCGTAGATAAGTGTTGTTGTTTGTTTGTTGTTTAGTCATAGCCTAGCCCAAAAAAATGGCAAAGGCTAAACAGAAAGTTGCTTTATCTTCAAAGTACGAGTAGTGTGTTTTGTGGGCATTTTGTCGATATTTGCAGCTAGTTCTAGTTATGGATACCACTACTATATTTGTTTTATGTCTTCGATTTATATACTATGTGCACTTTTCTACTTTTTTTCGGAGTGTGTGTTTACAATTAACCATGTTTTATTTATTAGGATTACATATTTTGGTTTTGTTTTCTATTTATGCGTCAATTTCCATTTTTGTTTGCCAAATAAACATCAAGAAGAACTGATTTCTATGTCAACGACTCTTACAACTTTTAAGGCATGTTTGCTCGAATCAAAAGTGTTTGTTTTATTTTTGCAACATACTTAAACATTTTTTGTTGAATTTGTTCAGGAAACGGTCGGGTTCGGGTTCGGGCTTGCTCAGTCGATAGTTAAACGCTGTGTTGAAGCAAATATATATATGTATGTATATAGTATATACTTGTTTTTTTTTTTTTATTTTACAAACTACTCACTACGCACTAGTCGTCATACTTAGTTTAATTTCATCAGCTTAATATTAAACAATTTTTAATTTAGTTAACAGCGTCAAATTGCTGAAAGCTTCCGTAACAAAATTGCGCCCTAAATCATAAAAATGTCTGCATACAAAAACTTAACATATTTATGTTAGGCCCACACATTGCAATATAAATATGTCTGTCTGTACGTATACATATTTATATACGAGCATGTATATGTGTATGTGGCGCAGATAAAACTTAGGGGCGGGTTAGGCTTAGTCGTCGGGGGCATATATGCCATTAAAATAGACACAAATTACACGCATATACATATATATATTTCCTTTCGTTTTTTTGTTTTTATATTTTTTTCTTGTTTTATTCTGCATTTCTGAATAATTTAATTCACATAAATTATTTCTAGGCTTTTAATTTAACTTAACCTATGCTGCCGTCAACAATTAGCTAATTTTATTAAGTTTTTCGTTTTGTTTTGTGTTTGCAATATTTATATATTTTAGCAATAATTTACGGCTGTTTTTATGCATCGGTATATATATTATGCTATAAATTGTAGGCCTCTTCCCAAGCTGTTGTTATTTGGTGTCGGCTTTTAAGTTTTCTTTTTTGTTCAAAAACTCAACAATGCCCATTAAAATTTGTTACTTTATTTTAACGCACAATTAGAAAAAATAATAATAATGCCATTTTTTAATCTTTGTACAAATCTGGCATGCCATAAACATGGGTTACTGGTGGTTGTAGTTGTAGTTGTTGTTGCTGTTGCTCGTTGTTTATTACCTGCTGCTGCTGCTGCTGTTGCAGTTGCATATGCATCCAAGCTGGATACTGCATTGTTGTTGTATAGTGTTGTGGCTGTTGTTGTTGCTGCTGTTGTTGGTATTGCTGTAGTTGTTGCTGTTGGGGTTGATATTGCTGCTGCTGGTACTGCTGCTGCACAGCGCTCTCCTTTGTGCAATCACCGCAACTTGCAAACGGCTGCAGCGACTGCTGTTGCTGCTCCACGAAAGAAGTTGCTGCAGGGATACCGGAAGCCTGCTGCGCTATTGCCGCAGGATGATGTTGCTGTTGCTGCTGCTGCTGCTGTTGCTGTGTGGAATACATGGCCACCGTTCATGGCAGCTACACTAACAAGCTAGGCGCCAGCCACTCATCCTCCGCCAGCTGCTTCAAAAAGAAAGAAAAAACCCATATGGAAATAAATAAATAAAAAAATATATAACGCATACGCCATGTGGGACGGATAAGCAAGCAAACGTACCTGCGGACTGACCTGAAACTGTTGCATCGGGTAGGCCACAACACCAGCAGCTTGCGGCAAGGCGCTGCCCACGCTCTGAGTAATTTGTGGTGCTGCGGCGGCAGCCGCGCTCGTCAGCTGTGGCTGTGGTGGCACACTCTGCCAGGTGCCCGGCAGCTGAACGCCCATGCTAAAAGGATAAAATAAATTGTTTACAGTTTTTATAAATACTTTCTGGCCACAATTCAGAGTTGAGCAATAATGTCAGATAATTGCGTATAAGCCCAAAATATCAATATACTATCATGTTATGGAAACTGAGATCAACGCTGACTTTTAATTGAATATATTTTATTTGTTTTTCAAGGCCATTGCCAGCATTCTACTCATATAATGTATTTATAGTACGAAAATAAATTTATAAAAAAAAACAAGTTTTGCTTGTATTCTGTGCCAACTTTTGCTTTGGAGGTTAGTAAGGGATTAAAACAGCTTTGTAAGAAATTAAAAATTTGCTGTCAAGTACTTAATATGATTTGGGGATCATCGAAAATTATTCTACTTCATTAAATTTAATCATAAATATTTATTTAGCAACGTGTTTGTAGTAAACTGCATTATGATGGATGGTTTGCTTTCTAAAGGATGGGAAAATGGGAACTTATTACGATTTGTGCATTCAATTCTATATTTTCTGTTACTATTTAGTGCTGCTCGTCTTCATCGGAACCCTTTTGGTTATGTGCCAGTTGTATTGCCAAATACCTGGCAATACAATTTAAATTTGGGTTACTGTTCACTCTAGCCCGCAAACTGCAATCGTCGTAAATTATAGTCATAATGGGGTTCTATCACCATTATATTGAGTTGAATTGATTACATCTATTTATAGATTTTAGTGCCTAAAGTATTCTACTTGTTAGCATTATTTGATGTTTTGAGCTTGATTCATCCTTTATTTTGTTGTTTGTTTATATTGTTGTTTTTATGCTATCAGCATAGTTCTCTAACTAGCTGTACAGTCATAACGAGCTGGCAAGGAGCTCGGAGACACAGATGTGTCTGTTGAGTGATGGACTTCGAAGAGTATTTGCAGAGGGGGGAACCTCATTTAAAAATAAATATTTATTGTGCTTCTATTGCATTTATATAAGTAGTATTTCGAAATTTTGTATTTGTTAAATCCGATGTAGGTCTAAAAGATATAGAAAACACTGAAAAACAGAGGCCGCGCGCACAGCGGGACACAAAAGTGTGGGAGAAATCTACGAGCATTTCAATTTTACTTATGATATTTAATATTGTATTTAATTGTTTTTCATTTGCAATGCATATTGCTTAAGAAAAATATTTTAATTTATTGCTTAACTTTTTATAAATAGTTGATGTTTCATATATTTTTGTGTATTTTTGTCGTTATTAATTAGTTCTCTTATGTGAAATTTTTTTATATTGCTTACATCTCATCTCATCTCTTACATTTTAATGGTTTTTTTGCTTTTCTTTTTTCTTTTTGTTACGTACCCCATGTAGCCGGCCTGTTGATAGCCTGCAAATTGTCCATAGGTAAAACCTTGCATGCCTTGTAGAAACTGGCCCGGCTGGAGGGCACTGGCCGGTGCCGCTGTGGGATATGTGGGTGCCGGTGGATACCAATAGCCGGCCACCTGCTGACCATAAGCGGCGGCAGCAGCTGCTGCAGCGGCTGCAGAGCCAAAGGGAAAGCCTTGGGCCAACGCCTGACCGGCAATGGCGGACATATGATTGGGATCGCCGCTCTCCTTACCCCACGCACACTTCACTGGCTGCTGATTGATCTCTGTATTATTCACAGCCACAATGGCATGGGTGGCGGCCTCTTTAGTAGAAAAGCTATATTTGAGATGGATAGAGAGAAAGAGAGAGAGAGAGAGAAATGGAGAGAATAAGGTAATAATTCGATATTCATTTTATTGAGCAGCTCATAATTTGTTTGAGATTTTTGAATATGGTTTACCAGCTTAATTTTTTTTGGTCTTACAGTTTTAATTTAGTTTCACCTTTTAAAAATAGCGACAACAAAATTGCAAAACATTTAAGCTTAAGTACATAAATATAAATATTTCATTAAAAGCTGAATTGTGCATTTGTACATTTTTTAAATAGAATATTTATATTTTATATTTGATTTAACATTTACGTTGTGAAAGACCCTTGCCATATTTCTTTTCGATATGTTTCCTTTTCCAGTTGTCAATTTGAATTTCAATAAAACTACTGAAAGCCCCTATAAATAACGAGAGTGCTCACTAAAAAACAAATCGAATTGTGTTTATTCTTTCTTTTGATCAAGTTGGATGTAAAACTAAATTATTGTCCCATTGAAAAAGTATTAAGTAAAGAAATATAAAAAGAAAATGAATCCTTAAACTGCTTTACATAATTAGATGAAACATTTTTTCAGATATTCAAATTATTTATTTTATTTCATGATCTGTTTAATTTAATATTATTATTAAATGAAATGAAAAAGGAAAGTATTAATAATATAAGAGATATTTTGCAAGCCAAGATTTCATTTATCATTTTCATTGGACTTATGACCGTCTTCTCAGGTGTTTCTGGCGGTCGAGGATTGAATAAATTAAAATTTGATTAATATTCGGGCACTTGTCTCCCATCGATTCGTTCCATAAGTCAGTGTGTAGGAATGGAGAGATCTGAATTGGTGTGCGTGGCTAATGAAATATCGATAAAACCCTTGAGCACTAAATGTAGTTGCTCATCCATGGCAATGCGAAGGCAAAAACCATATTCGCCAATATATACTTATTAATATCTCAAATTTGAGAACTGTTCTCAAAGAAAGATTGAGCTTCTCTTGTTTCTATTCTCGTTGGGCGTACATTAATTTGGGGCACTATCTTGTGATTTCTCTTCAGTAATCAAAGCATAATCTACTAAACTAATTAATACAAATATAAGAAGCGGAAAAAAATAATATGTTGTTGGGGGCTTGCAGTTAATGTTCCATTCTGCTTGCCTTTAGCTCATTATCATTAAATGTTTAAAACCACACATTTGTTCTGGCATTTTCTGTTTCCACCACTGCTTCTTGCTTTCAAAGACCTGCTTTAACCTTTTAAGCGTTCTTAAATTTCCATTTAGCCCATGCAGCAGCAGCAACAATAACAACAACAGCTTATATTGTATCGAAGGCAGCTGTGCGCTAGTTGCATAAGAAGAACAAAGCGTAAAAGTGGTACAGCCGTCTATGGAATTGTTTCGCTGTTGTTGCCGGCCAATGCTGCAGCACCACTGCCCCTCCCCTTTCCCGCCCCAGAACATTGCCGCCATCGCTGCTGCATCATTATAAGCACCCCTGCAGCGGATGAAGCGCATTGGCAGCGGCCAGCAGTCCGGCAGCCCGGCAGTCGGCAGTCAGTAGCGACTGTGGCAGCAGCTGCAGGGGCCACTTGTAGTCCCCGAGCTCATTATGTTACAAAATGCCAAACAATGCTTGCACTCACACAAACACAAGAGGGAGTGTGTGTATGTGTGTGTGTGTGCGGCCTGCTTTCTCGCTCGGTCTCGCTTTCATTTGTAGCGTGTTGAACGCGTAAGCAGCGCCGCCTGGCGCGCTCTTTTCCCAACACAGATGAGTTTCGGAGCCCGCAAAGCACACGACCAGGCGACTGCAATGCGTTGCCTCTAATTTCGACTAGGACCCTCCTGCACTATGGTAGAGAATGGGAAGCTAGACGGGAATCGGGCAGGAAACAGGGGCAATATGGCAATATGTTTTAAGCAAAAGTTGATGTACCTTTTTTGGGAAGAAAATAATGAACTTACTCTCATGAGCTTCTAACACGCTCTACATACTTGTATGTATTGAATTTGGACTTTTTCGCACACCTTTTCAACTTTCAATTAAAGGGAAGAAAAATTTAAATTAATTTAATTATTTTCAACTAAATTAACAAACGATTTTAAACTTTACTAAACAAAAGCAAATCAAATCAATGTTTTTATCGAGATGTTACCCGCAAACAATAAAAAGATTTCAATATGCTCTGAATCACAGAAAATGAAAACGAAAAACTATTGGACACAACTCTTATTAATTTTCGAGAAGCTATGTATGGAGATTCTTTGGCACTTCAACAAACATTTCCTGCCATATAAAGTGTGTCTCAAAAAGCACAAAGCAATATTTTGAAAATAGAATAAAATAAAAGGCTTATGTGCATGGAAGCCAATTTCGCTCCATAAAATAATTATAAGAATAAATTATAACAGATTGGATCAAATGAAATGAATCCAAAAAATAATGCTCCTCTCAAATGTATTTGAAAATACCACAGAATTTAGTTTTAATTATTTTATTTGTTTTCTAATTGTTGCTTTACTTAAGACCAGTCCTAATAGAACAATTATCAATTCAGGTTATCTTACTATAAAACTTCTAAGTCAATGTTCGCCAAATATTTTAGCTAAATTCAAATCAAAATAAATCAATTTTATGCATACTTTTAAATAGTTTAATTTATTTACTGCTAAGGAAATTTCTTGCTACTTTCAAGTTTCAAAAAATATTCTTCATTTGAGAATGTTGAAATTGGTTGGGAATTAATAGTTGGTGTCATTATAATTTATTAATTTAAGTATATTTTTGTTTAGTGATATCAACGTTCTGCTCCATTGTTGCTTTGCTGATGGTTGGGCCAACCTTTAAAACCCTATCAGAGTGCGGCAGCTGTGATCAGCGAGCCTTTGGCTCAACTCGTAAATGTTTTGAGCCTGGTGTTGCCTTTGTTATTGTTGTTGTTATTGTTGTTGCTATTGCTTTTGTTGCCGTTTTTGCTGTGCACTTTTTATATTGCGGAGCGTCGCTTTTCACATGACGCTGTTATTGCGGTTCATTGTTTTGTAGCTTCAAATTTGCCGCGTGCTCTTTGTTGTTGCTATTGCTTTTGTTGTTCCTGTTGTTGTTGTTCTTTCTGAGTGCAAAAGTGTTGTTGATTTATTAACGGTACATGATGGTGGTGGTGGTGGCGGTGGTGGTTGATATGGCGTGCACTCAATTGCGAAGCCGATGGCGACAGCAACAATAGGCGCTGGCGCTGGCGGCGACGACGACGACGCTTGCCACAATACAGCAGAAATCAAAATGGCGGCACAATGGGTTAATGTAGTACAAGTAGAGCTCATGTTATTGCATATTGTTGTGGTTGTTGCTGTTGTTGTTGCTGCCGCTTGTGCTCCGCTACTTTTGCACTTGGGCGGTGCTTTGTTATCCTGGCCACTTGCGTGTGGCGCCGTTTCATTTTTTTTTTTATTTTTTATTATTATTATTGTTGGAGTTGCTGGGACTGGCTTTTACGCGTACATAAGCATTTCTATATGTTGTGTGAATTATAAAGTTTGCATTAACCCACTTCGGCCAACATCGGTACTCGGCGCTGCCCACATCGATTAGTTAGTGCCAGTGCATTACGTATACGCAGCATGGCACGCAACTGCGTCAGAACTTTGCACATTTTCCTGGCGAGTTTCAGTTTTCATTTTATTTTTGTATTACTTTCTTTTGTTGTTGTTGCTATTATTTTTGCTTTTTTTTTGCCTTTCTGCGGCCTTGCCACTTACCGTACAAATGCATATCCCTTGTCCTTGAACACCCGTATCTCCTGTATTGTGCCATAGGGTGAAAATGTTTTCTGCAATATTTCCTCGTTGAGAAAGCCAGAGAGCGCCCCATTGATACCGCCACAATAGACGGTGCAATTTGTGGGGCTGCTTTGGTTGTAAACTTCGTCAAATGTCAAAGGTTTTGCATTCACTGGAACAAGAGAGGGTATGGGCTAGAATGTGAACTCTGTTTCTCTCTCTCTCTCTCTCTCTCTCTCTCTCTCATTCGCTCTTGGACTCATACTTACAGTCTGCCTTGGTAGCTGGCGGTTTTCTTGTTGCCCAGTTTGTGCGTATTGAACGCGATCCCAGCCACTGACCGTTCATGGCTGTAATAGCGGTTTCGGCTTCCTGAAAACAAATAAAAAATAATAATTTTGAATCATTTTTAGATAAGAGCTTAGCATGTATATTTAAATAAAGTGCATGTTATTCATTAAAATAAAGGACAAATACGAAGTATATTTTATGAGAGAACTGGTTGTTGTTTTAATCCATATGACTAAAAGCTATTTATTTTCTTTGTTTGAAGTAAATTTTTTCTGAACATTATTGGTTATACTGGATTAGAACACTGACTGCCTAACGAGTTAGCTCAGCAGGTCAGTTTAAGTTGACATTGAGGAACATGAAGGGGAACTGCTAGGGAGGAAAGTGCTGCACAGCACCATCCTGACAAGAATGGAATTGATATGCCACTTGTCTGTTTCAGGCTTTTTTCGCGCAACCACTCAAGGACAAGAGTCCAACAATAGTGGGAGAAAAATAAATCGAACGGAAAAGAACCGCGGAGCTTCTGAAACTGTAAAGAAGTTTCCGAAGTCTCTGATTTAGCAGCTCCATGTGTAGGACATTCCAAGTGTAGTGGCGTGTAATAATGGTAGAAATCTTTCTAACTTTCCAAGCGGCTTTCCACAAAAACAAATGTACGTTTACTTACAAAAGTATAAATAATAATAATTCTTAATTAATGTAATTTTTATTATTATTGATTTTTAATGAGCGCGCCAAGGGTGTTAAATAGGTTAGCATCCATTATGCATCAAATTCCATTTACTTCCCTGAAGAAAACTTCTGCTAAGAATTTAAATACCTACATGAAACACAATATAAACTTGTTGTAATACATTTTTTTTTGAGCCGGCAATGAACAATGACTACAGAAGGAGTCAACGAAAACACTTTTTCATTATAATCAACAATTTATTTTTTACTATTTTGTGAGATTTTAAATTTGAATCCATATATATTGGATCCCATATAGATTGGTAAAATAAGGATTAGAAAGTTCACATACCGCCCCCATCATTTTTCATATATACTTGTAAGTCAATTCAAAGCGATTGAGCGCACAAATATTAAGCACTGCTCTAATCGGCGCATTTTCCCGGAATGTTTGTACAGTCGTCTAACATGTTATTTCGAAATTCCTCCTTGGTATTACGACTCGTGCTTAAGTATTATAAGTAAGCGCGTGTTATGCCCACAAATTGGCCGGAAGCGACCGCGGCCATTTAGCTGAGTTTGTCTAGCCATTAAGCGGCTTATGGCGCAGGCCAGAAACTTCAATTGACTTGACGATAAAACAAAGCACCGCAATAAGAACATGAACAAAAACAAGAAGAAGAAGAAGAAGAACAAAAAAGAGCTAAAATAAACATAAACAAACCAACAGCTTGACGCGCAGCCCAAAAGTGTTAAAAGCTGACAAGTAGTTGAGGCTGCCAGAAACTTGCTCCTTCAGTTGCGATTGTCGCCAACACCGAACGAAGTCGGGCAGAGTGTTTGATTTCTTTGGTGTTTTGGTGGCATTTTGGCAGATGGGGGATTTATTGCGGCGCTTTAAGTGCCGGCTGCTTTTAAAGTAGTTGTGGCATGGGCCATGTGGCGTATACGTAATGGATGTGTATGAGTATTTTCTTTTTCAGATGTTTTTTTTTTTGCAGGGGCATGCGCAAATTATAATTTCAATTTCGCATAAAAGGTAATTCGTGCGTATCAAACGTGATTCATGCCAAAATGATTGCAACTGGCAGGCAGACGGAAGACGCCAGCCGCCAACCACCAACCGCCAATCGCCTGCCGCTTGCCGCCTAGCCGCCTTGCATGCAGCATGTGTGGGCGTTTCAAAGCAATTTACTTGCGGCACACCAAAGACCGAGCAGGCAGCAATGCAATAATGGCGTTTGTTGGTATTTCAACGCAGCAGCTGCTCATTGCACGTTTCGCCTTTGCTGCCTGCGATTCCGACTGCCACAGCCAGCGACTGTAACTAGAAGCCGTGCGGCAGTGTGGCAGGCATGTAGCCTGCTACGTGCAACGCTCGAAATCAGCGGCATTGCCGTTGACGTGCAACTTTTTCTCATCGTTGTTGCTGCCACAGCTATTGTTGTTGTTGTTGTTCTTCTTCTTGTTGATCGTTGCTGTTGATTGTTGCTGTTGTTGGCCTTTAATTTAACCACTTGAGCAAGAGTCAACAATTGAGTGGCTGCCCCTGCCACACTTTGTGGCCACTGTCACAAACAACAAATATACATACATACATACATATATGCATGTACTATGTATATTTTTATATTGTGGATTTCAAGTAAATATGTACATATTATTGGCCACTCTCTTTTACTGCAGCAGGCTAATTGCTGCTCTCATGCGCCGTGCACTTGCTAAGCTAACGGTAAATTGATTGAATAATATTGCCAGGCTGAGAACTGCGAGAGAGCGGCCTGCGGGCAAAGAGAGTCAGTCTTACGCATGCGATCGAGTAAGCCTGATTGTAAGCCGCCGTTTCTCTCTTTCACAACATTGAATCATGCTTTAACTTTTTGAATCATTTGCATCACCATTTTTTATAATTTCAGTTTAAAAATCAATATTTTAGTAATATTTGCTCCGAATATTAAAGTGGATCATAAATTGAAATACACTTTTGCATAATATGCTTCTAAATGGAAACAACAAGTATTTAAAATATTTTGAGTCATAAGAAATACGGTTATAATTTAGATTATTAATTTCGTTTTAAATTGGAACAAATGTATTCAAGTTTAATGTTATTGAATGGATTGTGATTGTAACTGAAGCGAATTTGCGGCAATGCCAAGCTAGTGTGTAGGATAATATTCCCAAACTGTAGGAGATCAATTTTAATATTATTCAAAAATTCCCTTTCATACATATATTTCTTTATTTTATTTGTTTTTGCTTTTGGACTAAAGTTTTACTAAGTTCCATGGTAATAATGGAGATGTTCGTTTAGACTCACCCTCTAAAGAACCCGTGGATACAATTGAAAAGCTTAAAGCAAAAATTTAGGGCTCGGCGGATTTCTTTCAAATCCATAGCGTCTGATCTTTGCTAGAATATAATTAAGAAATAATCGCATCCTGTCCGATAATAACAAGCATTTCTGAAGAAAAAGAACTACTACCACTCTACTCGAAAGGAAAAAGGTCAAGCTCAAGCTTGCTCTTCTTGAATACTACAAAGGAGTAGTATCCTTCGTGACTATACAGTTGAAAAGGATCGGCATTGCTGGTATGGTGGGAAATGCTTGTTGCATGTTGTCTGCAGCAAGATTGAGAATAATTATCGCATTTTGAAATGGAATACAATTTGTTTTGATTTAATCTTTAAGTATTTTAATTTTAATTTGTTTTCTTCTATCTTCTATTGCTATATTTTTTCATCTTCACTTCTTTTTTGATAGCTCTAATAACGTATCTGACTACTCTCTGCTGTGAATCGGGGCATAGCTGGCCGTTTGGCAAATAAAATGCCCCCACCGTGTCGGATTCGTTATTAGATATTTTTGTCATTTTTATAGGCTTTTTTAATTTCTTTAGTTTTATTTAGTTTATCGACTGCATTGTTTGTCGATGAAAACTAAAATAAATAATTTAAAAAATTCGAATGGAAAAAATCAATAATTTGAAATAAAAGAGTTTTTTCCATTACTAATTACTACTAATAACTAAGCTGTCGATTAACAAATTGCAAAGGACGCTATATGTAAACAATTGTGTATAATTATTTAATTCGGCTGATCATGCTTTTTTTAAACACAATTCATTCTTTACTTTGTGGTAGATAATTAAATACGTACTTTATATAAAAACACTGTATCAAACAAATTTCTGAGGCGAACAAATTCTCCAAACGTTATCTGTAAGTCTCTGCAAGAATCTAGCGAACTATAATAAATTGTATATATTGTATACTATAGTAAATATAGTAGTCTATATAGTAGTCTATATAGTAGTCTATAGTTTTTTAAAATTTTATTTATTTATTTTTTCACTACTAACTTAATGAGAAGTCGCGTCTTCAAATAAAATTGAACTCCACTGACCCAACAAATGCTGCTATTGCCTTGCAATTTATGGATATGCAGAATATTTAATGGTCCCAGTGGTAATTTATTTCGAGCAGGGTGCAATGATGTACGTTATAAATATACTCACACACACACACACAACCATTTATATATACTTGTATGTATGTGCATTGGTGTGTGTGTGTGTTTTGTGCACCGCCCGCTGTTTGCGTGCGTGCGCATTTTTATGCATCTACAGTTGAATTTTTCATATTTGCATAAACTATAAATTGTGCATTTTTAACCGATACGCATCGTTGATTGTGACACAGAACAGCAGCAACAACAAAAGCAACAACAACTATATATAACAAGCGACGGAACAACAACTCAGCAACAGCGACAAGCCGGTTGATGGGCGCCAAACAATGCGATTACACTATACAACAGATTTTTGCGCCATGCATGATGAAAATATAACACAACAGATGTTAAAGTTGAAATAACTGTTGTTTTAAAAAGGGTGGGCTCTATGTTTCAACATATTCTGAATAATATTTATGCAGGTTTTTAGGGAATAAAGCGCAATTGAAATGCAAATAGAGGCAAAATAATCTTTTAGTTTATTTTCTATTTTAATTTCTTTATTGATTTTATTATTATTTATTGTTGCTAATATGAATATTTTTGTTGATCAAATAAAAACCATACATTTTTAAAGCTTTAATTTGACATTCAACATAGGAATATGTTGGTAGACCACAATTGAACTGATGGTCATCTCCTAAGAAGATTCGACGAAATGTCGCAACAGATTTTAGTGTTCGACGTTTTGTTTCTATATTGCATACAATATAATTAGTGACATTGATTGAACGAATGAGGCAGCATTGTAAAAAATAAAATTGATGAATACAAATATAAACAGAGCTGCGCAATAAATTGTGGAAAAAATTACTTAAAAGGCACCAAGAATTCGATGAAGATCACCTAACAGCCATTTTTCCAAAAGCCTACTTTTTATCGAGCACCATTA